ATAGATAGATACATAGATAGATAGATAGATAGATAGATACATAGATAGATAGATACATAGATAGATAGATAGATACATAGATAGATGATAGATAGATACATAGATAGATAGATACATAGATAGATAGATACATAGATACATAGATAGATAGGTGATAGATACATAGATAGATACATAGATAGATAGATAGATACATAGATACATAGATAGATAGATGATAGATACATAGATAGATAGATAGATAGATAGGTGATAGATACATAGATAGATAGATAGATAGATAGATAGATAGATACATACATACATAGATAGATAGATAGATAAATAGATAAATAAATGAATGAATGATGAGCAAGCAAGCAAGCCAGCCAGCTATGGTGGCATACACCTCTAATCCCAACCCTCAGGAGGCAGGGGCAAGTGGATCTCTGAGTTCCAGACCAGCCTGGTCTACAGATTGGGTCTCAGGATAGCTAGGATTGCACAAGGCAAACCTTGTCTCAAAACAACAACAACAAAACTAAACAAACAGAAATAACTACATCTAAAGTTTAAAAAGGTTTTTACTTTTTTGTATATCAGTTTCGTGTGTGTGTGTGTGTGTGTGTGTGTGTTAGCATGCCCAGGGCCAATGGATGCCAGAGAGGACATCAGATTCCCAGCAACTGGAATTAAAGACTGTTGTAAGCAGACACATGTGTAGTGACAATTTTGGAGTTTGGGTTTCTTTAGAAAACACAGAGAGAGGAATGTTTCCGTTTTAATCCCAGGTGTGGGGCTGGGGCTGCTTTGGACTGTGATTTGCCTGGTGCTCTAGAGAAGCGTGGTTTTGCCAGCTGTAGCTAGTTTCTGCAAGTGTGTGAGGTGTGGAATTCGGGGAACTTTTCAGAGGGTATGTAAATCCTAGGGTCCCAAGAAGCAAGAGTATCCACTGTCCTATCTATACTAGAGGGGAAGAATGTCACACAGTCATACCAAGGAGAAGCTAAACAGGCCTCGGTGCACCCGTGGTACACCCCTCACCAGTGGTACATGGGAGGTAGAAGGCTCCCACCCTGATGAATTCTCCAGGGTGACTTGAGGAAGCCATCCCACTGCTTCTGTGAACAGACCAAGACCCTTAGGAAGTAGACAAACAACAATCTGTACAAGCAGAGAAAGAAAAAATACTCAATAATAGACATGTCTGATTTTTATATTGTTTACATCCCCTTTCCCTCAACAAGCTTAAACTAACTATACGGAACAAAATGAATATTGTTTCCTCACCAGCACATGGGGGCAGCATATCACACCCCTCCTCCAGTTAGATCGCATGACTTGAGAACAGACCTGCTACCCTAGCAGGCCGAGGCGGAGGCGAGGGTATACTCAGGCAAGCCTGCCTTGTGCGGTGAAACACAGACTCAGGACAAAGGGAAAACAAGAAAACTTACAGGTCTCCTCTGACTTCTGGTTGTCTGTTTTTGTTGTTTGTTTGAGACATGCTCAGTGTGGCCTTGAACTCACTATGTAGCCCAGGCTGGCCTCTAACTACTGTACTTGAGTGCTGGGATTTCAGGCATGTGTCGCCACATCTGTTATCTTTGTCTTCGTTTCTGAAAGTCCCAGTGTGGCGTACAATGTAGTTTCATGTTTTCCTCTTATTAGTATGTCTTCTGTTTCGGTAGACTCAGCCATGAACCTTTTTAAGACTCAAAGTTTTGGGCTGAAGATGCAGTTCATTGGGCAGAGTGCATGAACAAAGGCCTACGTTAAGTCTCCAGCACTGCAGAGAGCAGGCATGGTGGGATACTCCAGCACATGACAAGAGGGAGGAAGGCCGCAGCTTCAGGGTCATCCTTGGTGAACCTGGAATATGTGGAACCCTGTCTAAAACTTAAAAACAAACAGATGAAAACACAACTAGCTCCAAGAATGTTGGGGTGCTTAGAAGAGGCCCCCAAACAACCAAGCTCAAACCTATAAGCCTCCTGTGGGAAAGATGCAGAGAATCTGTCCCAATGGTGTGAGGGAGGCTGAAAGAGTGAACAGGTGTCGCCAGAAGAAAAGCGGAGCGCTCCATGAGCTGACTTGACTATTCAATCTCTATTTCCATTTTCCAGCAGGGCTTTAAATTAACAAACGACTTTTCAGCTCCTATGAACTGGTGGTTTTCATGCTAAGAACTGGCAGTAGTAAAATGGCAGGTTTAACTGTCCCCTTTAAAAGGAAAAAGGACATTTTGCATTCAAGCGACATTAAGTGCTGGGATTGAAACGGAAAGACGCTGAGCCAATCTCTTATGTGACTTGGTTTGTCCTTTTAAATACTTTGTATTCCAAATGTGGTGAGTTTTACATGACATGTCCTTCTAGTTCAACAGTCTGTAAAAATGGATTGTATAATATACAAAGACAATTTAGCGTAAAAATTGCATAGTGATGGTACAATTGCCCCAGAATGTTAAATAAAAAATATCATACCATTTTAAAAATTACCATGGATTTTAAAATATTTTAAGTTATTGTAGAAAAACTTAAACCTACACAAAAATAAATACTGTGAAACCACTTGGCTTCAGCCGTTGCACCGTTTACCAGTACATTTTGCTGTTTGCTTCTCCATCCTGGTATTCTAAAAAACCAAAACAACAACAACAACAAAACCCTGAATATCTAAAAAAGAACGCTAAACATATTTCACATCATCTACAAATGCGTTCATACACTTTTCTAATAAGGATTTAGTTTGCATAGCAAGATACCATGATCAAGCCATACAGAATTATTCGTACAATCACTCAATAATTTCATAACAATTTAACACCAAGTTCATATTAAAATTCTCTGTTCTTCTTGAAGATGTTTTTACAGTTGACATGTCAGAATTTTCTTTTAAAATATTATTATTAATTATTATTTATTGTTTGTTTTTTTCTGAAACATTCTCCATGTAGCCCTGGCTGTCCTCAAACTCCCTCTATTGACTCACAGGGATCTGCCTTCCTCTGCCTCCCAAAGGCTGGGTTTAAGGCATGAGCCACCACCGCCCAGAATCTTTTAAAAATTATTAGGATGGGCATAGTAGCACAGGCCTTTAATCCCAGCACTTGAGAGGCAGAGGCAGATGGCTCTCTGTGAGTTCAAGGCCAGCCTGCTCTACAGGTGAGTTCCAGGACAACCAGAACTACATATGGAGAGTTGACTCCTACTCAAAAATAAAATAAAAAAATAAATTTCTCTGTGTCTCTCTGTGTGTACAGGTGCTCGTGGAAGACCAGAAGAGGTAGCAGAACCCCCTGGATCTAAAGTTACAGGTAGTTATGAGCTGCTTTGTGTGGGTATCGGGTACTGAACTCAGGTCCTCGGGAAGAGCAGCAAGCACTCTTAACGGAGCCATCTTTCAGCCCCCAGGTTGTCATAATTTAAAACCAATCAAAGTTAATAGGATCAAGAAAAAATAAAAACAAATAAGAAAAAAAAAACCCTCTCAAACTTAGAAATGCACAGAACGATGACTGTATGTCCTTTCTTTGTGATGCTAGAGCATTTTCCCACAGAGCCACTCCAGAATCACCTAATTCTCATGGCGTTTTCCCCTTTGACTGACAATTGTGAGATATACGCTATCACTGGGTACCCTGTATGGATGGCATTTCTTGATGCTGAGGGGAAACACCTGAAGAGAAATGAGTTAAGGGAGGGTTTACGTGGCTTTTAGTTTTAGGGGGTGTGTCCTGGCAAGGATGAGGAATACACAGTGCCTGGCATGTGAAGGAGCTAGGCACAATCTTTTGGCAGTCAGGCAGCAGAGACTGGAAGTGGGGCCTGGCAATAAAACCTTAAGTTCTGCCCCTAATAACCCATGTCTTCTTTACTTTCTAAAGGTTCTTCATAACAAAGCCAACTCCTAGCTACCCATCCTTCAAACTCTTGAGCCTACAAGTGACATTTCACAGTCAAGTCAAGTCAACCACGACAAGTCCTACAATGTCACTAAATAACCATAGAGAAGTGGTTATCTGTGTAACTGGTTCTTAGTCAATAGCACTGTGTATTGGCTTACAAACAGGTAAGAATTGTGTTCATGGGCTGGAGAATGGCTGAGCAGTTAAGAACATTTGTTTCAGAAAACCAGACACACTAAATCTACTAGAAGAAAAAGGGGGGGAAGAATCTTGAACTCATTGGCATGGGAGACAACTTCCTGAACAGAACACCAACAGCTCAGGCTCTAAGATCTACAATTAATAAATGGGACCTCTTAAAACTGAAAAGCTTCCGTAAAGCAAAGGACACTGTCATTAGAACAGCCTACAGATTAGGATCTTCACCAACCCTACATCTGACAGAGGGCTAATATATGAAATATATATATATATATACTCAAGAAACTAAACTTTATCAAACCAAATAATCCAATTAAAAATGGGGTACAGAACTAAACAGAGAATTCTCAACAGATGAATATTGAGCAGCAGAAGAACATTTAAAAAACTGTTCAATGTCCTTGTCATCAGTGAAATGCAAATCAAAAAACAACTCTGAGATTCCATCTTACACCCATCAGAACAGCTGAGGTCAAAAACTCAAGTGACAGCACATGCTGGAGCGGATGTGGAGAAAGGGGAACACTCCTCCATTGCTGGTAGGAGTGCAAATTTGTACAAACACTTTGGAAATGAATCTGGCCTTTTTTCAGACAATTGGGAATAGTGCTTCCTCAAGAACCAGCCATACTACTTCTGGACATATACCCAAAATATGTTCCACATACAACAAGGTCATTTGCTTAACTGTGTTCGTGGCAGCTTTATTCATTATGCCAGAATCTGGAAACAACCTAGATGTCCCTGAACTAAAGAATGGATACAGACACTGTGGTACATTTATACAATGGAATACTACTCAGGTATTAAAAACAAGGAAATCATGAAATTTGCAGGCAAATGTATGAAGTAGAAAAGATTATCCTGAGTGAGGTATCACAGAACCAGAAAGACACGCATGATATATACTCATTTATAAGTGGATATTAGCCATATAATACAAGATGGCCATACTGCAATCTACAGACCTTAAAAAGCTAAATAACAAGGAGCACCCTAGGGAGGATGCTTAAGTCTCATTCAGCAGGGGACACTGAGCTGCCTATGGGCTACCTCTGAGCAGGGGGTCTAGGTCCTCTCCATGCATGGTCCTTGGTGGTTGCATCAGTCTCTGTAGGTCCCCCTGGGCCCAGATTTGTTGGCTCTGTTGGTCTCCTTGTGTGTTGGTCTTCTGTACCCCCACTCTTTCCCACAACTCTCTGTGTTCTGTCCAAAGTTTGGCCATGAATCGTACCATCTCCTTCCAACCCCTGCTGGGTGGAGTCTTTCAGAGGACATCGATAGTAGGCTCCCATCCTGTTCCCTCTCTTCAGCCGCTTCAGGTGTCTATTTGCCCTGCTGAAGGGGAGCAGGGGCTGTCTCTTACATGGACTCTATTGCCTCCTCTTTGATCACTTGCCCCTGGTGGGAGTGGGGAGCTTGCCAGGCCACAGAGGAAGAGGATGCACGAAGTCCGAATGAGACTTGATAGACTGGGGTCAGCTGGTAGGGGAGAAGGACTCCCCCTTTCTGAGGGATGGGGGAAGGGGATAGGAAGGAAGGAGAGGGTGGGACCTACAATCAGGAAGTAAGATGAATAAATTATAACCAATAAATTATTTTTTTTAAAAAAAAAAGAGCATTTATTGATCTTGCAGAAAACAGGTTTGATTTGCAGCACCCATAAGATGCTTCACAACCATCCGTAACTCCAGCTGCACGGAATCTAGCGCCCTCTTCTGGCCACTGGTGGTACAGCAGACGGGTACACAGCCATACACATACAGGAGACCGGTATTCACATGTGAAAAACTGGGATAATTAATAAAAATAATAAAGAAGTGTGTTCAACAGACTATGAAGGAAAGAAAGCGGCCACCAGACAGTGCAAACCAACTACCTCTGTTGACCCTCTCAATGGAGGCCATTGACTAACACTGCTGCATTTCATGGTCAGTGGTGAATCAGTGAGGGGATGAGCAGTGCTCTATGCTCATACTTGCTGGTTTTTAATATTCACCTGAGTGATATTTCTACTGAGTCGTTATTGTCTTAGAGACGGCTAAGCAGTTCGGAGTCCTGGCTGCTCCTTAGACAACTAGAGTTCTATTCACAGCACCCACAGAGCTGATCACAACCATCTGCAGCTCCAGTTCCAGGGGATAGGACGTCCTCTCCTGACATCTCTGGACAACAGGCACATACGTGGCACACAGACGGACACACATCAGGCAAAACACTCATCTGCCTAAAAGAAAGAAAGAAATCTTTCAATATTAAATAACAAAGATAACTGCAAAATCTACCTTTAAAAATGTTCTCCTGGCACCTCTCAGGCTATACCTGGCAGTTATTCTGTTATTCACTGAAATACTACATGTGTGTGTTGGTTTCGATGTATGACCCCTTGTGGAATTAAAGCTCTATATGAAGTGGGTGGCAATCAAAAAAGAAGCCTCCAACTTGACTCAGCGACTTGCTGATCTTGCAGGACATGAGCTTGGTTCTCAGTGCTCACTCAGGACCGGGAATCCTCTCTCCCAGGGATGAGATACCAGCGCCCAGTCAGGAAGCTGTGCTTCGTTGAAACCTGTAGGCGCTGGTTGTGGGTGGTCTGAGGCTTACCAGAGCAGCTGACCCTATAGCTGTCAAGTCGGCAAATGGGTGTTATCAGTGCTTTGCGCTGGGAAAGCTGGGCCTGAGGCTCCGGAAGCAGGTGTAGGTCACAAGTGGGGCTGCCGTGCAAGCCTGAGCCGGGAGCACACGCTGGGCTGCCCACGAGCGTGCTCTTGGTACCCGAGACCTCTGGCTGCCATGCTGCAGTACACAGGTGTCCCGCTGTGACATCTCAGGGAAGGGTGTGTGGCCTGATCCAAGAGTCAAGCCCCTTGTCTTTAAAGGGCTGTCGTCTCTGTGGATCCGTAAGCACGGACGAGAAATCTTCACTGGACTTGATGGTGTGAAGCCAGAGAAGCGATTACTGTAGCGACACAGTCTGCTGCTTTGTATTTGATAGTTATTTTGCTCCCCGAGGCCTGCTTGCTGTCGCTTACGAGCAGACACTCACAAACCCCAATGCAGCTGTGTAATTTTGCCTCCAGATAATTCCTGTTTGACCGATAACGTGCCTACACCTTGACAGGGCAGAAGTGAGTAGGAGGACCCGAAGCTCGTGGGCTTGGAGGGCAGGAGGATCAGGGGGGAGAGACAGGTACCAGGAGGGGAAAGAAGGAAGTGAGACCAGCCAGGGCTGGTGTGGAGAGAAGCACATGGCTGGGAGGAGAGAAGCAGCCCAGATGGAAATCATGCTTAACTATTTATATTATTTTGGATGGGAAGTAGCTTAGACAGGAATGATTAGAGCAAATGGCATGGGGTGTGGGACTGGGAGATAACGAGGTAGTTTAGGGGGTTAATATCGCCCAGCCCCAGGTGTAATAAAGCATATTAAAAATTTATCAGTTGTCTGTGTTTTTTTTTTAGTGATTTTGATAGTGGGTTAATTATAAGTGCCATAATAATTATAGGCCATTAATAGCAAATGTTAATAGCTCCTTTTTCTTTCTACAGCAGATTACAAGATAGTGTCTTCCAGCGCCCTTGCTGAGCGTGCCCAGGCAGTCTGCTCACATAGCCCAAGAGCTAGGAGAACTCGGACCAACCACAGACATTTGTTTGGCCAATCACCTCCTTGATTCCCACGCTCCTTGTCATTAACTGTGTTTTGTAGCAACCACAGCCACCTGTCACGATAGACTGTCCACTGGAGGAAGTGCTCACACTCTGGCCCACGTGGGAAGCTCCATGTTGGCTTCTTACTGCAAAAATCTCCCCACAGACAGTTTTGTGATGGTCAGCTTTAATTGTCAACTTGACACAACCAGGAATCCCTTGGCAAGAGAGTCTCAACCAGGGATTAGCTATGTTGGATTGGAGTGGTGGGTGATGAGTCTTTAACTGTGGAGACGTTGGGCACAAGCAAGTAAACTTGCATTCATTTCTAATTTTTTCTCTATTGAAAATAGTGTTTCTTTGTTTTTAATTGCTGAGTAGTATTCCATTGTGTAAATATACCTCAATTTTTGTATCCATTCCTCAAATGAGGGACGTCTGGGCTGTTTCCTGCTTCTGGCTGTTACAAATAAAGCTGCTACGAACACAGTTAAGCAAATGTCTTTGTTGTGTAGTTGAGCATCTTTTGGATATATGCCTAGTAGTGGTATAGCTGGATCTTGAGGTAGCACTATTCCTAATTGTCTAAGAAAGGGCCAGATTGATTTCCAAAGTGGTTGTACAAGCTTATATTCCCACCAGCAGTGGAGGAGGGTTCCTCTTTCTCCACATCTTCTCCAGCATGTGTTGTCACTTGAGTTTTTGGTCTTAGCCATTCTGATGGGTGTAAAGAAATCATAAAATTTGCAGGCAAATGGTGGGATCTAGAAAAGATCATCCTGAGTGAGGTATCCTAGAAACAGAAAGACACACATGGTATATGCTCACTTATAAGTGGATATTAGACATATAATATAGGATAATCATACTAAAATCTGTACACCTAAGAAAACTAATCAAGAAGGAGGACACTGGGTAAGATGCTCAATCTTCATTCAGAAAGGCAAACAAGACGAACATCGGAAGGAGAAAACAGGAAACAGGACAGGAGCCTATCACAGAGGCCTCTGAAAGAGTCTACCCAGCAGGGTATCAAAACATATGCTGAGATTCATAGCCAAACTTTGGGCAGAGTTCAGGGAATCTTATGAAAGAAGGGGGAGATAGAAAGACCTGGAGGGAACAGGAGCTCCACAGGAGAGCAACAGAACCAAAAAATCTGGGCCCAAGGGTCTTTCCTGAGACTGATACTCCAACCAAGGTCCATTCATGGAGATAACATAGAACCCATGCACAGAAGTAGCCCATGGCAGCTCAGTGTCCAAGAGGGTTCCCCAGTAATAGGAACAGGGACCATCTCTGACATGAACTCATGGGCTGGCTCTTTGATCACCTCCACCCAGAGGTGGAAGCAGCCTTACCAGGCCACAGAGGAAGACAATGCAGCCAGTCCTGATGAGACCTGATGGACTAGGGTCAGATGAAAGGGGAGGAGGACTCCCCTATCAGTGGACTGGGGGAGGGGCATAGGAGAAGAAGAGGGAGGGTAGGGTGAGATTGGGAGGGGGTGGGGGATGGGGCTACAGCTGGGATACAAAGTGAATAGACTAATTAATAAAATAAAAATTAAAAAAAGAAAATAGTGTTTCTTCTGTCTCACATAATATAGCCTGATAAGGGTATCCCTCTACTCCTTACACCTCCTCCTTACCTCTCCTCCTGTCTGGATCCACTCACTTTCTGTCTATCATTAGAAAAAAAACAGGCTTCTATGGGATATTGATAAAAAATATAATTGTGGCAGTCTGAGACCACCACGGCCGGCAGTCTGTGGGAGGCGGTAGGCAGTGGGCTTAGCAAAACTATGGAGCCAGCGTTGGTTCAAACTCTGACACCAAAGTTTATTTTAGGCATTTTTAAGCACAGCATAATTTGGTGAAGTTTTCCTGGTAATGATTGACTCGGTCCAGTGTGCACAATAAAGCTTAAGATGTGCAGTCTTGGCAACGGTCTGTGTCGCTCGGGATTCCCATGGGACCTTCTTGGCTAACAATTCAATTGGATTTGACCCAATCCCTGTACTCAAAGCTTCATTTGGTGATGAGAAATGTCAAGTTGGGACTCTGTCTCCCCCATTTTTTTTTGTTTGGTAATTTCATTTAGATCCCCTTCATATATGCATATATTTTAAGAAGCTTCCTTATTAGATTTCTATTCTATCCCTCAAAATCGCCCTTAATTTTAGCTCCCTCTCCATGTGTTTCCTCCCTCACCCCCTCACTCCACCTCCCCACGAGATCCTCCTGTTCCAGCCCCCACCCTTAACTAATGAGACCTATGTGACCCCTCTCCCCAACCCCAGTTTCTTACTCTGTCACTTTTTTACAGATCTTAGCCATTCTGACAGGTAGAAGATGAAATCTCAAAGTAGTTTTGATTTGCATTTCCCTGATGGCTAGGATGTTGAACATTTCTTTAAGTGTCTCACAGCCATTTGAGGTTCCTCTATTGAGAATTTTCTGTACCCCATTTTCAAATTGGGTTGTCTTCTTGAGATCTAGTTTTTTGAGTTCTTTGTATATTTTGGATATTAGCCCTCTATATGATGCGTAGTTGTAATGTTTTCCGTTCTTTAGGCTGACACTTTGCCTGAATGACAGTGCCTTTTGCCTTACAAATGATGTTCAGTTTCATGACGCCCCGTCTGTTGATCTTAGTGCCTGTTCTATCAGCGTTCCGTTCAGAAAGTCGTCTCCTGTGCCAATTCGTTCTCCTGTCTCCACTCTCTCTTTTATCAGGTGCAGTGTGTTTGCTACTTTGTGGGTTCTTTCTTTTACCCTTCTCCACCCTTTCAACTCCCTAACATTAGATAGGAAAGGAAAAAAAGAAGGAAATGAAAGAGGGTGATATTATCCC